CACACAGGTAAAGGGTCACAAAGACACAAGCAAGAGGTAGACAAGATCCAAGAGTAGAATGCACGAAGAAGAAGAAGAAGGCAGCCTCTCTCTCTCTCTCGCGGGTTCTTTCACACAAACGGGACATGAGAGTTACCAATATATATAGTAAACCAACGACAAACAATAAGGTAAGTTATACATATGGTAAGTAGGCTCGACTAGGGTTATGGCCCAATAGCACACCAACAAGCCACAAAGGTTTATTAGCCATCCAATTGGTAAAACAACATTAAGTCGGGTCATCCCATTATTCGGTGTTGATTTATCGTTCAGTCATTCATGTCGACTGACAAAACTGGTTTACATCATCGCCCGGGAGGTCGTTTGACAACATGATGTCTAACAACCTCCACCTTGGTGTCAAAGGACCTGCAAAGAGAAAACGTTTTCCATTAGTAACACCTCTAACAGAAAAACGATAAAATTGGAAATCATTTACCAGTACCGATGTTTAGAAGCTCCTTACAACTTCTAAACTTTACCAGTGGCAGTACTTTCGTGCCCATATCCGAAGGATTATATTGTGTGTGAATTTTTTCAAGTCTTACTACTCTTGTGATATTATATCCCTAATAAAGTGTAGCCTAACATCGATATGTTTAGTGCGCTCGTGAAAAACAGGATTCTTACACAGATATATGGATGACTAACTATCAGAATACACAACCACATACTCATTCAAGACACTTAGTTCATGAAGTAGACCTCTAAGTCATAGAGCCTCTTTAATTGCTTTAGTGGTGGCAATATATTCTGACTCTGTAGTGGATAGTGCAACTATGTGTTGTAACTGTGATTTCCAACTAACACACGAATTTGATAAGGTGAATATGTAAGAGGAAGTTGATTTCCTACCATCCCTATCTCCTGCATAGTCAGCATCTACAAAACCCTTTAATTTCACGCTTTCCTTATTAGAACTAAATTTTAGACCTACGTCACTTGTACCCTTCAAATATCTTAAAAGCCACTTTAATGCTTCCCAATGTTCAGGACTTGGATTAGACATGTACCTACTGAGAGTACTAACAGCGAATCCTAAGTCCGGTCTAGTGCAAACCATTAAATACATTATGGAACCAATCACATTTGAGTATGGAATTTTACTCATGTATTCCACTTCACGTTCATTGCAGGGAGCTTGTTCTTTAGATAGAACAAAATGGTTTGCAAGAGGCAACGTGACAGGTTTGCAGTCCCTCATATTAAACATTTTCAACACCTTTGATATGTATGGAGATTGATGCAAGAATACGATGGAATTTGACCTATTTCGTTCTATTTCCATGCCTAGAATCCTTTTAGCCTTTCCAAGGTCTTTCATGTCAAATTCTCCACTAAGGTCTGCTTTTATATTGTTTATCCACTTAGGAGATGATCCAACTAAAAGCATGTCGTCCACATAGAGCAACAAGAACAAATAATTGTTATCAGTCTCGTTGTGTTGAAAGTATAGGCAGTGATCGAATTTACTTCTTTGAAATCCTATAGTGAGTACAAAGGAATCAAACCTCTTCTACCACTGTCTAGGTGATTGCTTTAGACCGTATAGGGATCTCTTCAGAAAACACACATAATTAGGTTTTAACTTGTCTTTAAAACCTTTTGGTTGATTCATAAAGATTTGTTCATCAAGCTCTCCATATAAAAAAGCGGTTTTTACATCGAGTTGTTCAAGTTCCCAGTCAAAGAGCGCAACCAATGCGAGCATGACCCTAATGGTAGTGTACTTGACAACTGGTGAGAAAATCTCGTTATAATCAACACCTTCTTTCTGTGTGTAACTCTTCGCTACTAACCTAGCCTTAAATCTTAAGGGTTTTATACTACTAGTACCTTCCTTAACCTTAAAGACCCACTTGCAATCAACGATTGATTTATTCTTAGGTCTCGGTACTAACTCCCAAGTTTGATTCTTTTCTAGAGAACTCATCTCTTCTTTCATAACCTTAAGCCACTCCTTAGATTGACCACTATTCATAGCCTCTTCAAAAGTTTCCGGCTCCCTATCAACTAGTTCTTCGTAACTAGCGTATGCAAAATCCAATTCAGATTCAAACCCGAACCTCCTAGGTTCTCTCGTTTGTCTTCTCTCTCTATCCCTAACTAAATTATAGTTAGCTAATGGACTTTCTTCCTCAGAATGCTTTTTTATCACTACTTCATTTTCCTCTTCAGGTTCTTGGACCTGAATCTCCACCTCACTCGAAGTACTAGGTACTGATGTGTTAAATTTTTCTAACTCCACCTTAAACTGATTTCTTTCTTTACCTGATTCAGTTTCACTTACAGGTTCGGTTTCGTTCCTTAGACAAGGCATCTCACTCTCATTAAATGTGACATCCCTACTCAAGATGATCTTAACTCCTTTTTGGCTTCTATCCCATAACCTATAGCCCTTAACCCCTTCGGGATATCCTAGAAAGACACACTTCCTGGCTCTAGGTTCTAATTTTTTCTCACTTTGATGAGAGAAGGCAGCACAGCCAAACGCTTTAAGCATTGAGTAGTCATCCAATTTTCCAGACCATTTCTCATGTGGAGTATCACCATTTAATGCAGCCGATGGAGTCAAATTTATCAGATAACAGGCAGTTACAACGGCTTCACCCCAAAATGACTTAGGAACCCCAGAACTTAACATCATGCAGCGCACTTTATCTAGTATGGTCCTATTCATTCTTTCTGCTACCCCGTTTTGCTGGGGAGTATAGGGAACCGTTTTGTGCCTTGTTATTCCACTTTCTTTACACATCCTATCGAATTCAGCATTACAGAATTCTAGGCTGTTATCTGTCCTTAAAAATTTGATCCTCTTGCTAGTTTGGTTTTCCATTTGTTTCTTCCAATTGTTAAAGTTATGGAAGGTTTCAGTTTTGTCTTTCAATAGATAGACCCACACTTTCCTGGTGTAGTCATCTATGATAGATAGAAAATACCTATTCCCACCCGATGTGGGATTACTAGCAGGACCCCACATATCAGAATGCACATATTCAAGCATGCTTTTAGCCTTATGTGTACTAGTGGAGAACGACACTCTATGGTGCTTTTCGAGCACACAGTGATCACAGAACGATAGGTCAGACACACAGTCATTACCAAATGCACCTTTTTCATTAAGTAGCTTAAGTCCCTTAATGCCTACGTGTGCAAGCCTACTATGCCACGTATGTGTGTGATCGATTTTGGCGGAAGAAATAGAGGAGTTTAATCATCTAATTACTTCCCCAGTAGTGATGTAAATATCATTTTTCTTGATTTCCTTAATAGAGATTAACACACCCTTCATCATTTTAAAAATACTGTTTCCAATTTTACCAGTGAAGTTGTCTTTCTCAAGTCTTCCTACTGAAATCAAATTCCTAGATAATTTAGGAATGTATCTAACTTCCTTTAACATGTAGACAAAACCCGTGTTAAATTTTATCTTTATATCTCCAATTCCAGCAATTGTATAGGCAAAGTTATCACACAGAACTACTTGCCCATCATTAGATTCTTGCAAGTTTTCAAACCAGTTCCTTTCAGACGTCACATGAAAAGACGCACCAGAATCTAATATCCATTCATGCATGTGAGAATTAGTAGTTAGATTCAATTCAGTAGTGTATGTGACTGGACTAGTGATCACATAGACTTCACCGTTTTCGGTATCGGAGGTAGATGATAACACATTTACCTCATCTCTTTCCTTAACCTTTTGTTTTCCCCTTTCTTTATGGCAATCTTTTATAAAATGCCCTGTGCCTCCACAGCCATAGCATTTTCTAGCCTTAGTTCTAGACTTTGACCTAGGTCTACCATTGCCTTCTTTTTCCAACTATTACTACTTGATTCGCCACTACTTTGGTATCCATCATGACTGGCTTGCCTAAATTGAGTTCTACCCCGCATCATATGCAACTCTCCACTCCTCCTATCCTGTTTTTCAGCCCTCATTTCCATTTCTTTACTCCTAAGAGAATCTACGACAATTTCAGGTGTTAATGTGTCCCTATCATACTTAATGGCATTCTTAACTTATTTATAAGAGTCCGGGATTGAATTGAGCAAGATAATAGCCTTATAGGTCTCAGACACGGCTTCGTCACAATTGACAATAGCTTGCACCAATTTGTTAAATACATCTAAATTGTCGTCGAGATCCTTTAAAGGATCCATCTTAAAGTTGAAGAATCGTTTGAGTAGGTAGAGTTTATTCAGTGTAGATTTAAGCAAGTATAAGTCTTCTAGTCTTTTCCAAAGTTCTTTGATGGTTTTTAGTTTTCCCACTTTTCTTAAGACAGCGTCAGACAAGTGTAATATTATTGAGGTATAGGCAAGCTCATCGGCTTTCTCTTTTTGTTCTTTTGAAATGTCAGGTGCAAAATTGCCTTCGATGGCTTTTGACATCTTTTGTTGGACTAATATGCCTCTCATCTTTTGTTGCCAGATAGAGAAGTCCCCTTTACCGTTAAATATTCCCAAATCAAAATTATGTGTTGTCATTGGTTAACACACTAATTAGACCACACGAAGTAGTATTGGGAAGCGTGATAAGATAATATCTTGTTAATTCTTAGCAAAAGTAACAATGAACCTAAACGCTACGTCCACCAAGAAATACCAAGCACTTAAATCAAAAGAACAAGCACTCAATTAACGCAAGTAATCCTAGTTCTAGCACAAGCAATGGTTACCCCTTCACGGTAACCCCAAAACCTAACGATCACCCCACACAATGATCTTGCTATTACTGAATTTAAATGGATTAAGCCAATTTACCAGAGCGGACCTATTTGAGTCCGTAGAGTGGAAAAAAACGAGCTTGCTGTTCAATTGCAGTCGGCATCGCACCAGGGGTAAAATCGTCCAACTTTTTCTGTGTAACCTGAAACACAAAACAAAGTATATCAGCGCGTTCAGGAGATCGAAACAAGCAAGTTACCTGAAGATAGCTTCGCGGAACGCTGCCCATGCGCCGCCACTGCTTCGCCGTCGCCGCCCACGCACCACCTCACCAGGGGCGCCTCGACCTGTTGGTAATGGGTATGGCCTCCGTTTGTCCAACCGAGCTTTGGTTTGTGAGTAATTGAAGAATTTTAGATTCGGGTACAATGTTGAAATCGCGAAAATCAACCAATTTTGAGCCGATTTTTGCCAACCAAGCTCTGATACCAAATGTTAGGATCTTCCTCTAGCTGCTCAAGATGATTTTCGGGCTTAGTTAACCTTTAAAACACTGAATCAACACCAAAACCGAAAGTACCTGACGCCGACCACGAGTTCTACCTATGGTTGCTTTTCTTCCTTTTGCTTGTTGTTTGCTCACTCACAAAGGATGAATACCACACAGGTAAAGGGTCACAAAGACACAAGTAAGAGGTAGACAAGATCCAAGAGTAGAATGCACGAAGAAGAAGAAGAAGGCAGCCTCTCTCTCTCTCTCTCTCGGGTTCTTTCACACAAATGGGACATGAGAGTTACCAATATATATAGTAAACCAATGACAAACAATAAGGTAAGTTATACATATGGTAAGTAGGCTCGACTAGGGTTATGGCCCAATAACACACCAACAAGCCACAAAGGTTTATTAGCCATCCAATAGGTAAAACAACGTTAAGTCGGGTCATCCCATTATTCGGTGTTGATTTATCGTTCAGTCATTCATGTCGACTGACAAAACTGGTTTACATCATCGCCCGGGAGGTCGTTTGACAACATGATGTCTAACATAGAGACTTCCTAGTTAGCTAGTTATTTTCTCTATAAATACTAGAGTTTGTACACATTTTAATTCATTGGATTGTAGTCTCCAATCCCTCCTTCCATGGAGGTTTCTTCCTCCTATATGGAGTGTATTTCCTCCTTTGTGGAGTGTCTTTCTCTTCCTCCTATTATGGAATGTTATCATCCTCCTATTTTGGAGTTGTTTGTTCCTCCTATCATGAAGTGTAATTCCTCCTTTAATGGAGTGTTTTGTTCTTCTCCTTATGGAGTTTACTACATTGTTTTTCATTCAATAAATCTAATAAATTGTGTTCGAGTCTGATTTTGCAAAAATGATGTCCTTAGAAAGGAATGACAGCAAAAGTAAGTGGATTCCATTCGCACCGTCTTTTTCTTTCAGTTAAATTTTTTTCACAATAAGTGACTGCGCGTTTGTACACATGCGTATATATACGCATTATCTGCAATTGATGTAATGTAGTAATTGGATTTTTTATTGAGTTCATGGTGTTGCACGGAGATTCAGGTGTGAAAATGGATTGCTTAACTTGTTCTAAATAATTTAATCTATGCTGTCAAATTTGTTGGTACTTAGATGAATTAAGTTTTCATTTGATTGAATCATTTATTTATTACTTATTTTGTTTCTTTTTGCCTAGTGGTGTTTCGTTCGTCTATGCTCGAGCCTCAACGAATGCAACAATTAAGCTGAAGTGAAATTTATATAGGAATGTAATTACGTGACATAATTGTTTTACTTGCCTTGATATGATGAAACAGAAATTGGACTGGGATTGACGGGGTTTGGAGTATTTTTTTCATTCTTGGGCATCATTTTCTTCTTTGACAAGGGGCTGCTTGCCATGGGAAATGTGAGTATAGTTTCTAAACTGGTAGTTAACTGTTTCATAGATACTTTTCATTTCTCATCTTCCCAGTACCTTAATGTTCTATTTGACTATGTTGTTTAACTTGGTAAATAGATACTCTTCATCTCAGGGGTGGCATTGACCATTGGACTCAAGTCATCTGCACAATTCTTCATGAAACGATCCAATTTCAAGGTCTTCTTTTTTTGCTTTATAATTTTGCATTTATGTTTTCTCGTACAATTTTGCTTTCCTCTTATTACTTTGGTAATTCTCTCGGTTATTGTAGGGAACAATTTCATTTGGTATTGGCTTCTTCTTGGTTGTCATTGGATGGCCTATAATGGGAATGATTCTTGAGGCATATGGATTTGTTGTTCTCTTCAGGTTTCTGTTCACTTTTTATATGGACAATGTACTGAAGTCCAAAATGGTTTACTATCTTCTTGGTTCTAATGAAATATTTTTTGTGCAGTGGCTTCTGGCCAACGCTGGCTATTTTTCTGCAAAAGATACCCATTCTTGGTTGGCTATTCCAGCAGCAGTTTGTTAGATCGGTATGTTCGCTTTGACTTTTTTAATTAATATTTCAGATCGCAACAATAATGTTGGGTTTTTGATACCCAATAAATCTCGTACTATGATGTTAACGTGGGTTAATATTATTTCATAGGCATAGGTTGATGAATGAAATAAGTCCAACAATCAAATCCATGAGCTACACTCGGCCCAATTGTATTCCTTATGGATGGCTTGAATTTTGGCCCGTTTACCCCTTTAATGGCCCAATTTAAAGCCTAACCCTAGAGTATATATTTGGCTATAACCTTAGCCACTTTCAAATGATGTTTTGTGTGATTTTGTGAGACTTTGTGTGAGAAATAGGAGAATCCCGGCTGCCCTCTTGGTAAGTGAAAAAACAGCCCCTAGAAGTGTCCTAAACACCTGTTACTTTGTGTAATTGGTGGTTCCTTCATAGTATACCTTTGTGATGTCTTCTCTTAGACTTTGTGGCCACAAATCATCATCTTTTCTTATCCTACGTGGGTAAGATTGAATAGCAACCGAGGTGAATTATATTGGTTGTGGTTTGAAACCGGTTGGATTGGTTGTTGGTATATAAAGGTACGTTGGACTGAGCCTGATAAACCACCGTTTGAAGATCCTTTTCAGAGAGCTTCCGCAACAATTGGTATCATAATAAGGTCTTTCGAGCCTTTGTCCGGGGACTCGAATGATGAGATCGCTGATGCCGACCACCCTCTGTGTCTTTGTCAGTGAAGTAAATCACCTGGTCAATGGGCTGGTGCATGTTTTCGAATGTTTGGTGTCAGTCCACGGCAGGAAGTAGGTTGGGTGAAAGAAAGGACTTTGGAAAGGGGAACGACATGTGAAAACTTGCTCTAAAGGGGGGCTTCCTATACCCATAAAAGGAGTGGCCAAAGAAGACCTGAATAATCCTGATCTTTGAATCTACCAGAAATCGTCCAGAAAATCGACAGAAACGTAGCAGAAATCAGATCAAAAAACTGTCCAAAAAACTGTTAAAAATCAGCCCCTGTTTTGGTGTTTTCTGACCAATCCAGAAGGATTTTAGAAAAATGGAAACCACTGGTATAACGTGCAGGTGGTGGCGATCAAGGCGGTCAGGCACGTGTGGACGACGGCGGCGCGTAGAGGCCACGTGCAGAGAGGAAGAGGGACGCGCGAGGGCGCGTGGAAGGGAATTTCGAAAAGGTCCCTTCAGGCAGTTTGTTCCTCATATTATTTCTAACATTTTTCGTGTTGGAAGTTTTCTGTTTCAGGATACGTAGTAGAATCTGGATAGCGTTGTTCTTCGGGCGTTCGAGACTCGATCGTGATTTTTTGGTTGCTACAGTTCCAGAGACTTTAGGACGAATAGTGATAGTCTTGAAGTGGTGAATTCACGTCTCTCGATATTTACAGACCTTCAGACGTGATCCACTTGGTATCGTATTCTTTGCTTTTTATTATTGCAGTTAAAATAAAAGTGTAGAGTAATTTATTTTTTGCATTAGAGGTCATCGTGTGGGGTGACATTAGGTTTGGGATTACCATGAATGGGTAATCATTGCCTGTTGCTAGACCTAGGAATTATTTGTTAATTATTTGCCTTAAATTCTTTGTGAATTTGCTGTCAATTTTTTTACATTATTAGAATTGCATGTGGCCTTAGGAAAGTTTACTGGACTATTCTATGTGAATTATGTTCATACTTTACTTGTGGTCATTATTTGGCATTGGTGGCAAGTGTAGGTCTAAAGTAAATGCGAAAAATAACATATATTTTAACTATGGTAAAATTTGGACATAATTGAAAGAGATTGTCCTAGGATGATAATAAAAGGAAAGATGAGGATAGAGACAAGGCGAATGTGACTTTAGGGTCGAGTAGTGATCCTAGTGAGGTTTATTGAGAGAATAAACCTGGTTCTTGCATTACATCTGTGTGTAATCCTTTCTGCATGTATGTGGTCACTTAATTCTGTTGCGATGTTAATTTTACACTTTCAATATGTTTGATGTGTGTAATTGCATGAATTAGAGTGATCTTATTACTTTGTGTAATATGTTTACATGCATAGTGGGTTGAGTTTTGTGGCGTACTCTATTTGATCTGTGAGTGGTGTGAGAGTGTGGTAGTGAGAAGAAAGTTGGGCAACCGCTTCTCTCCTTTATCTTTGTGAGCCTGTATGGTTTGTGAGATTATGTGGGGCAACCATGTCAGGGTTACCTTCTTTATCTTTGTGAGCCTCTTTTGTGATTGTTGTGAAGTAATCGACTCTTTCTTCGATTCTCTTGGAGAGTGTCACCTTCACTATTTTCTTTGTGAATTTTTTGGGAGCATTGGTGAGTGGTTTAACCTTTGTGGTCACCGAAAAGTGTTGTTTTGCTATAGTGAGTTTGAGATGCATTAGCAGTGAGTTGGATGTCTTTTGGTAAGGTGGAGTATAGATGCCTAGAGATGCATTGGTGATATGCACAAGGGATGTAGAGTGTGACATTTGGATCATGAGTGGAGATGTGATCAAATGTGTAGAATCCTTTATCTGTGAAAGAGACCCTGATCAGGTGGAGTGTGAGAGAGGTACTTCTATCACTTCTGTAAGGTGGAGTCCCATTATTCACGTAAGTTGGGAGAAGTGATGTGGTGATAGAGGATTATCCCGTGGACTTAGGATCTATTGTGACTTGCTAGTTAGACATGAGTTGAGTGATCTGTCTAGTGAGCTTGGTGGGCGATGAGAGAAGATATGTGTTCTCGAGGTGTGAGCAACTCGGAATGGGATAGGATAAGTGTGGTGAGATCTTTTCTTAGGGTCATTTATGCATGTGTTGCATATGTGGACGACCGTGGTTTGATTGACTTGGTGTTAATCTATGGTTCTATGTGAACGTGTTTCTAAAAAAATCTGTGTGTGTTATCCTATAGTATATCGTCATCGCATGTGTATTTGCTCTTGATTATTTACTGTTAAATATTTGCTTCTACTTGGGTGTTTTTGACCTTAGCCCCAGTGAGTACATGGAGCAGGTATGATATGCGTTTCAAGTTGGAAACACGAGGTAAGGTCTGTGATCCAATTTTATTGGCTACCTTGATTATGCAAGTGTTAACTGTGTGTTTTGATTACTTGCAGATTTATTGGGCATCAAGGTGGAGATTTGTTGGGTTTTTAATACCCAATAAATCCCGGGTTATGATGTTAACGTGGGTTAATATTATTTCATTGGCATAGGCCGATGAATGAAATAAGTTCAACAACCAAGTCCATGAGCTACACCCGGCCCAATTGTATTCCTTATGGATGGCTTGAATCTTGGCCCGTTTACTCCTTTAATGGCCCACCTTAAAGTCTAACCCTAGAGTATATAATTGGCTATAACCCTAGCCACTTTCAAATGATGTTTTGTGTGATTTTGTGAGACTTTGTGTGAGAAATAGGAGAATCCCGACTGCCCTCTTGGTGAGTGAAAAAATAGCCCCTAGAAGTGTCCAAAACACCTGTTTACTTTGTGTAATTGGTGGTTCCTTCATAGTATACCTTTGTGGTGTCTTCTCCTAGCCTTTGTGGCCACAAATCATCATTCTTTCTTGTCCTACATGGGTAAGATTGAATAGCAACCGAGGTGAATTATATTGGTTGTGATTTGAAGCCAGTTGGATTGGTTGTTGGTAGGGAAAGGTACGTTGGACTTAGCCTGGAAAACTACCGTTTGAAGATCCTTTTGAGAGAGTTTCCGCAACAAATAATTTCTGAATTTACACTGAGGGTGCGTTTAATTGTAAGCATGGAATTTGTATGGAAAGAAAAATAAATTTTAGGCAATTTAATTGCTTAGAACTTATTTGCAAGGAAATTGTCAATTAAATGTGTTTGATTGATTTAATTTTTAACCTAGAAAATATTATACTTGTCCATTTTTTATTGGTGGATAGATGAGAGAGGGGGAGAAAGAGAGTGAATTCCTGGGAAAATAAAATCCTACTTTCTCTAAAGAAAATATTTTTCTTTGATTTTGAGGAAAATATGATCACGTGATCAATAGTAAAAAAATGTTTTCCATGGAAAAAATGTCAATCAAGTAGCACAAAAGTAGGAATTTGAGTGGAAAAAACACATTTTCCATGGAAAATATTCGCAATCAAACGCACCCTAAATTTGAGCTTTGAATGAAGTTGCTTTTAGTTATTTCCTTATACTTGGAGGTTGTTTTGTGCATTGAATATTGATTATGCTTTGAAGTACGATAGATATATGCACGGAAATATTAGTTTTCTCTTTGCCTTCCTAAGATTTTGATGAATATTGAGTTTTTGATTATTTTTTTAGTTAGTATTTTGTTTATTAAGTATATTCGGAATTCAATTCCAATTAAGACTTTTAATTTTTGTTATTATCTAGATGTTAGTTGTTTATTAGGATTAGTCATTAATTAGGTTAGAAATTTATTAGAATTAATCGTTTATTATGTTTTCAGATATTATAAACAAGGGTTGTAGCCTTAATGGCAAAGGAGGATTTTTTTTTTTTTTTTTTTTTTTTTAAATTGAAATAAAATATTAATTGTTGATATCTTCTCCAATTTTTCATAAATTCTCAGTATTTGATATTTAAAATCAATGAATCCAAGTTCTCTTTTTTCGCTCGCAAATCTAAGAGTTTGATGCCTAAATTCTTAGTATTTTTTGAAATTAATTGGAACTAGAAGGTTATCATGTTGCGGTATTCCTTTGGAATCAACGAGATTTCGATAGCGTGTTCGTTCATATCTATTTCATATCTATTTCTATCACTTCTGTCACCCTACATCAGTTAGTATTGGAGCCAATGTGTTTTTAAATTGTTCTTTTTGTTTGTCAACGTATTTATTGCTTTCGTGCTACATCATTTTTTTTTTTTTGGCTGCAAATTTTCCTTGAATTCAAAGGATTTTGCATGTTTTGATTATGAGTCTAGCCTTAAGCTTACCTTTCAATTACATGGTGTAGACACTGCGCATCCATCTTTTCATTTGCTGTAAAATTGGCAAAATAGATTCTCCTGACTTCACTTGGTACATATTTGAAATATTAGATATTGTGCGAAGAGTTCACATACCTTTTCATAGTCTGAAATGAGTCAAACAACTAAAATTTGATCCATTTGCAGAAATATTTACTTCTCCAGATTTTATGTTGAAGCAAATGAAGAGCTAGTAGTAACTTTATGTTTAAACATTTTGCTCCAATTTGGATTCTGCTTTTTCTTTGATTATCCATATTTGAGATGTTGAGGTCTAAATTCTTTCCAGTGTAAGGAAGAATTGCATTCATTTCAATACAAAGAAAGAGAGCGGCATAATTATGCTCCTTTTTAACCTTTCCCATCTTGGATGCTGGATTGCCTTTTCACATATCCAAGTTACATCATAAGATGTGTGTTGAAATTGCTAATTGTTATATGCAGTTCTTTGACCGTTATCGTGGAAAGAGAGTCCCTGTGTGAATTTGATCCATTCCAGGGAAGTGCAAAACTGGCTGCTCTTTGCCTCTTTGAGTGTTGTAAAATACTGTTTGACCAACATATTCATATAATTGAAGATAGCACGGTACGCTCAACTGATGATATGGGCGTGATTGATACAAAGTCAATCTCTTTTAGTTTCATTTGGACTTGACATTGGCAAATGATAATCAATTCTTTTGACGGAAGCTTAATATCCTACGATTTTGTATCCAATTTACCATTTTGAGTTGATTCGTTGATTTTTTCTGTTTGTGGACGTGCGGCGGTTGCATTTGGATATTCTAAACCAGACAGAATTAGAAGTTGTGAGTTATATTACAATTGTCGTGCCATTGATTGTATGTCCATGTTTAAGGATTCTCTCAATTTTCAGCAGACGAAAGAATCATTACAGTGATATTTACTATAAATACAGAGATACATACTCTTATACATAAAAAATAAATAAAATAAGGAACTCGATTGTATTGTACCAAGTTTAACTGCATTGTTTAGTGGCTAGTGGTAGATTTTATTTTTTTTCACCTTCCCCTTCAGCTAGATCGAAGACATCTGATGTGCTTGTTAGAACTTCAAATGGTGGTTGTTTGAAGCCCTTTAGTGAGTATTGTTGCCATTTACTTTTGTGATTGAACAAACGGCAATCAAATGAGTCCTTTTCAAGCATTTATTTGATAAAATGGTGAGCTATTTCATTATGTTTAGTCTTGTCATGCTGAACAGGATTACGAACTATGCCGATCTCTGTCTTCTAATCACGATGCTGATTCATAGGCTTCTCAATTCCATCTTCAGTTGTCCAAGTGACTGCTTTAAATCATAGGACTTAGCCAATTTCATGAGCTACGGCATGAACTGTCTCTACCCTACAAGCTACTAGAGCTTGCTTGTTGATTCTCCTTGTTATTACTTTCCTTGAATGATGATAAAATGCCTAGATATTGAAAATCTATTTGTGCCACTCCCAGGTTAATCAGCGTCCATGTAAGTTTGAATCTCTAGATGAACCCTTTACCAGACAAGTCTTCACTTGGAGCTCCTTTAGATACTTCAGAATTCGATATATAGCTTGAAAGCATTCTGGAGTTGGTCCACAAACTGACTGATTACACATGCTAATAAATAAATAAATCAAATATCTCAATTTCTGCAGCAAGAATTCCTTATAGTTTCTCCAATGCATAAAAATCATTATGAGTGATTGATGTGTACTCTAAAAATAGTAATTTTACCATAAGTAGAGTTCTTGTAGAACACTGTAGCCAACCTGAGAGAGGAATCGAGAGAAACCGTCCATATTGCCTCTCACTTCGTTGTTCAAGTTCTTGAACATTGGTTGAGTCATACATTTTGAATGTCTATTGCAATTTCATACCGGACATTCAATAAAACTTTATCAATTGCACCTCCTCCAGTAGCAAGTAGCACAGGTTTGGCAAAACATGCTCAATTACGACCAAGAGTACAACTTGCACAGAAGACTTCAATTTTAGTTCTCGAATTTTCCATTTCGTCTATAATTTTCTGCAAATCTTAGTAACAGAAGTACTTTCATCCACTTAAAAATGAGGGAGAATTACCAAGAATTTCTATATCAAACCATTGAAGCTGAGACAACATCCGACAGCATATGCGAATACTGCTAAAAGTATCATTAATTATAAACCAACTAAAATAGTAGAGCAATCACGTCTGAATCATGGTAGATATCTTCTGTTGCCCCCAAAAAATGTCGTCAACGGGTCCCCGGCCTCGCCCTCTCCACACCTGCACATGAAACACCTCATTAGGCAGCAAAGCCGAAAGGTCGTTGCTCAAGAAAAAGGTCCAACCACCGTTTGCACTCCGATAGTCAAGTCAATGGTTAGACGAAATATAAGAAGAGTGCAAGAGTTAGGAGTGGGGAAATGGCTAGGGTTGTGAAACATACTTTAAATGAAATGTAGCCACATATATATAGAAAATGCAGATGGGCCTTGTAGTCCAAGCCAAAGTCCAATAGAAAGGCCCAATATGAAATATTTTACATGTATAACAATAGTCCCCCAATTCTAAGTCGTACATTCATGTGCGGGCCGGAATTCGAAATATAAGCTGTCAAATATGTGAGGTTTTTCAGATTGCCTCAGAAATAAGAGTAGCTTCAACAAACAAGGACTTACGAACTACCTTGAAAGTATGCATTGGTGTCAAATAGGCGAGTACTTATGAATTGCCTCTAGAATACAAATTGCTCCAATAAGTGAGGATTTATGAACTATCTCAAAAAAGTTATTTGCAAGTCTGAATAAGCAAGGACATACGAATTGCTTTGAAATATAGATACTCAATATAATTTGTCGAAATTTCAGCAACATCTCCTCCGTAATATGAACTAAACCAACCTATAATAAAATATAATATCTCCATTGCACATATATTAAAAAAAAAAAAATTGGGGTCTATTTGCCCCTCCAAATACTCATACTATTAAGTAAATAGTGACGTATTACATTTCACCAAGATATAATATGCAAAAAGCCTATTATGTATCATAGCAGGTGTCGTACGTCGCATGCTTGACTATAGTGTAGATAAGTGACATGTATACTAGCTTTAGTAATAATAGTGTCATGGGTCATGAGGCATGCTAGCAATGATGTGACATGCATTCTTGGGCCTAATAATATAATGCATATGATAACAGTAGTCATAATGATACTTTACACCCCCGCATAACATCGACGTGCGGAGCTCCAAGGTGTCTATATGCAAGAGGCGCATAAGCAAGAGGCGCGTCCGAGGCGTGGAGTCCCTTGAGGTGATTCTCCGAGGTGTCAATTTGTTTCAAGGCGTATCTTCCAAAGTGTAATGTGGCCGAGGCATTACGCTGAGAAGACGAGGAGAACACCTCTCCATTGTCAGTCCCACAAATGGATTAATGTGATTAATGTGACGTCTTTGTATGTATCATAGCAGGTGTCGTACGTCGCATGCTTGACTATAGTGTAGATAAGTGACATGTATACTAGCTTTAGTAATAATAGTATCATGGGTCATGAGGCATGCTAGCAATGATGTGACATGCATTCTTGGGCCTAATAATATAATGCATATGATAACAGTAGTCATAATGATACTTTACACCCCCGCATAACATCGACGTGCGGAGCTCCAAGGTGTCTATATGCAAGAGGCGCATAAGCAAGAGGCGCGTCCGAGGCGTGGAGTCCCTTGAGGTGATTCTCCGAGGTGTCAATTTGTTTCAAGGCGTATCTTCCAAAGTGTAATGTGGCCGAGGCATTACGCTGAGAAGACGAGGAGAACACCTCTCCATTGTCAGTCCCACAAATGGATTAATGTGATTAATGTGACGTCTTTGCCATATGCCAATCCAAGATCAGAGGAATTAAATACTAGCCCACCTAGGAAGCGACTAATGGACGCGTACAATCGAACACCTCGCATCGTCGAATGGCTATACGTTTTTCACATCTAGCTGCACCCTTTGCCTATAAATACCAAGAACTCAGTTGAAGAAGGTGAGTGCTCATGTCCATGCTATTCCACAACTAAGAGGAATTATTTTCTCCTCCCCCTTTAGTTTGTGCATTCCAGCACCACTGTCACCATCGTCGATTGATTTGATCGTCAAAGTATATGTGGTCGTCACCACTACACCCAATATCGGCCAATACGCCTGACCATAGGCCATGTGAAGGGCCCAATTCGCGAGGTCAACAATTTTCCTCCTTATGTGCAACAACAAATGGTCAGGCATTTATGGCGGATACCGAGGGTGGTGGTAATGGCCACATACACTTCGATGATCAAGTTAGTCGACAATGGTGGCTGCGGTGCCGAAATGCACAAACCAAAGGAGGAGGAGAAAATAATTTCTCTTAGTTATGGAATAGCATGGACATGATCACTCGCCTTTCTCAACTGAGTTCTTGGTATTTATAGGCAAAAAACACCACTAGAGTCTAGAAATGAGGCACGTATAGCCATCCAATGGTGCGAGGTCGTAGGCGTCCATCAATCTCTTCCTAGGTGGGCGGACATTTAGTT